TGGAAACAACTCACATCTCTTTCCGCTCCCTAATAAAATTCTTGATATTCTTTATTTTTTGTTTTAATGTTCTAATTGGCTGCTAGTGAGTTCCTCTTTCTTCACCACTTTGAAGAAACCTGCTTAGATCAGCAGTCGGCATCAGGCAGATAATTTTTTTTGCTAACTGATGCACAAAGCAAATACTTGAAAAGAGCTCTGTTTATTTGCCTTTTCAGAATTGTGACATTTCAGATGTCTCCTTGCAGCCAAAACATCTGTGTGGGTCATTGTGTGGAGAGGCTGCTATCTGCCCACCTGACATTCCTACTCCAGTAGGGCCATTGTTCGCCTTTCAATCAGCCAAAAAACACAGCATGGAATTACTGCACGCCACTAAAGCCAGCTACTGTGTTTTACCCTGGAGAAAGCTGCATTTTGCTATTGTAAGAAAAGCCTCCTTCCCAGCTCTGTGCACAGAGATGCAGTTATCCTGACAGGAGCAATGGAGACACCATCACCTGAGCACAGAGCTTGGTTCCTCTGCTCATGGCCCAGTCCAGGCAGCAAGTAACAGCACAGAATGAGACCAAGCATCTGGAACCATTGGATAAAAGATTCACTGCTGGGGATTTGAGCTAAGATACCAGGCTCTGAAGCATGGCAGAATTTATTCTGCTCACTTTGCTGGAGCAGTGGATTTCTCAGCAGAGGGTCAGCATTCAGCTGGGGTCACAGTACCTACAAAATGCCCAAAGTGACACTGAGCAGCTGGCAGAGTAAGACAGGGAGCAGGGAAAGAGCCACTCTGCATGCTTGCCAGCAGCAAACTCTGCTGCTGCTTCCCATCCCAGCATGGTGAGTAGAAGGATGAGATGACTGCATCCTCACCCTTCTTCACCTTGTACACTTTGGGTAATTATTGATGCACACACTCAGTTGCAAATCCCCATCCTGCTAATAGCCTCCAAAAGTACTTCCCAGTGAGAACAAAGTAGGCCTTGCACCTGTAGATGTCCAAGTGGAAATGCCAGGAATTACCCTGCTATCCCAATAAAACTGTTCTTTCTCAGTTCCTTTGGGGACAATAGGAACATTGCCTACCAGAACTACAGCTCAGAATAGGATTCTGCTCCCAGTGATGGTGGGAGGCCTAATCTGACACCCATGAAATGTGCCTGAATGAGCCACCAGCCTGCCACAAAGGTCAGTTTTCTCAACAGGCAGATGCTCACGCGGCACTCCCAGCAATGAGCAGCTCACAATCCTTAGTTCTGTACAGCAGGTGAGAGCCAAGGACCCAGGCAGAGTGCAAGAGAAAGCAGCACTTAATATATTACATTAAGAGGTGGTTTTGACCCCACGTGGTGCTCAGGTGCAAACAACTCCCCAGAGTAAAGGACAACAGAAAATTGGACTTGACAAGCAATTTATCATACTGCTTTCATCTATACAGAGTTAATTCAATACTTTCAATCCTATTTACTGAAACACCGGCACCCACATGGAGTCAGCTGCTGTGATTCGACCCACACTCAACAGTAGATGTGACTGGGTTGCACAATCAAATGGTAGCAACACCACGATCTAATTTAACTCCACATTTATATCTCCAGGCCTCATTGAAGCAGCACAGAGCTGGCATTTGGCTCATTGCTTTGGCTTCTGTTTTCTATACATCCCACATCTTCATGGGGCAAACTCAAGCTTCAGAATCCCATGAAATGTCCACACTGACTGCCCTATTACTTACCTTGAAAACTAATTCAAGCGTATACACTGCTGAAATAGCACAACAGAACACTTCTGGGATTTGAATCCTTGGGACAGGGCAACCTCCAAATGCCCACACTGCCTAAAAAGATTTGCTAGGAAGCATTTAAAAAAGAAAGTAAAACAAAGGTTCTCAAAAAGCTGTGAGCCATTTGTTCCAGAGACAGCTGTTCAGTGAAGGGTGTGCTGTAGTGAAATTGTTTGTATTCCTTCCTCTTTGCCCCTAGGCAGCTCCCTACATTTTCCCATGGGTCCTATCTGGTGTCACTGCCAACATCAGGCATTGCGGCCCTTATAAGTTAGCCCTTATTCCTCCACTTCAGCTGAGGAAAAATGAGACACATGCAGGCTTAGAAAGCACTGAAATGCAGCTCTGGGATGAGTGAAACTGCAGGCTCCAACTGTTTTGCATACGAGTGGTGCCTGTGAATTGGCTGAACATTTGCTGGAAGGGCCACATCATGAGAAGAGTGATGTCACCATTTGCCAAGGCCATGCTGCCATGCATGGCACCAAGCTGCAAAACTGAGGTCCAACCAGTCACACAGTGCTAGGTCAGAAGTTCAGGCTTCCATCAAGAACATGGAAATCCCAGGTCACCTCCTTATCTGGAGCAAAGTGAGGGGATCAATTCATCACCAACAAACACGTGGCAACCCCAGCACCAGTTGCATAATCTATGACCAACAGTCAGGTTCAGCCCCTCATGGGCTTGGAGAATGGGTCCAGTTCTTTCAAGCTCGTCTTCAATTTCCATAATGAGGAGTTCTGATCTGGACTTTCTATTGCAAATATCACTCTTCATTCAGCAAATCTTAACATAACTGGGAATCAGCTTGCAAGATACAGCCCAGCACAGATAACCACTATAGGCCAGACCTTTCAGACAGCAAACATGGGGAATCCTCAGCTGCAAAACCCTGATATGGCTGCTTTGCAACACCAGAAGGGCTTTCCTGTAAATACTCTGAAGGCATCCCTATTGCAGCTGCTTGAAGCAAGAGCCAGTAGAAGCAGGTCTACCAGATGTGGGGTGTCATTAACCAAACATTAGGCACAAGGAGCAGCAGGGGCTGCAGAGCTCCTACCTGAGCCTTTCAGTGCCTGCTTACACACATGCTAAAGCAGCAGCTGCCACTGAGCAAGAACCACTACATGCAAAGCCAAGAGTACCTCAAAATACAAGTGTTTATCAAAATGCCCTGATCTTACAGTTATTTTTCTAGCCTCCACTGCAGGCTTCCAAATTAGAATCACGAATACAAGCTGCAATTCAAGATTCACAGCCCATTTCCATTGCCTCACCTAGAAGATGCTCTGGCAGCATGAAGAGTTTAGGAAGAAAATAATAGCAAGGAAAGGAAAAAGAAGAATAATCTCTGGGAGTTTAAAATCACATTATGGCAGCATGAGAACAAAGGGCCTTGTCCCCATATTACAGTTGGGAAACTGAGGCACAGATAGGAACAGTGGCATGCCTACAGAGAGCAGACAGGACCCCCATGTGAAGACCTGTCTCAGTAACTGGCAGTGCCTCATCCTTCCAGGGCAGAAGCAGCTGCTGCCGAGGGCTGTCAGTTCTCATGCAGTGGTGGCCCTGTCAGACATCTCCAGGAGAGAAAAGGGTTAAGGAAGGGAATTTTGTTACTTTCTTGTCGTATTTTCTCGTGGGGGGAGAAGCGTTGTGCAAGCAGGAGTTTTCCACTGGCGCTAGGCCCCCTTGCACTTATCAATGGGACCTTTCAGGTCTCACTCCCTGATTGAGACATCATTTCCTGTCCAACACACTAACCCCATTGATAACTCTACACTTGATGGGAACTTTTCAAACCTACCAGGAAAGGCCAGGAGACCCAGAAGAACATACTCATGGAAACAGAACTGGGGTGAAAAGAAAAAGAAAAGAGAAATAAATAGTTCTGGGCACAAGCCACGTGCTGACAACAAGTGTTTGTAATCATCTTTAGGAAGTACATCAGACCCGTCGTACATAAGACATATAATTCAAGACAGGCCTAGTGCTTCAGGCCAGTAACAAGTGGAAAGGGGCTTAAGAGCATCCCCTCTTTGAACTTCCAGTCAGCAAACCTGGATATCAAGACTGGCTATAAAAATGATTCAGTCTTCCACCAGAAAAGCCAGAAGAACATAATCAATATTGTTCTTAAAACAATGCTAGATGACTAGAGACTTCAGATATCTAAGTACAACAAAGAACAGTGATGAAACAAGTGCTCCCCAAGGTATCTCTGTCCAGGCACTCAAGGGAGAAACTGTTTCTTTACTGATTATCATACCAAATTGTGTCAGCATTATTTCCCAGGCTACAGTCCATCAAGTTCTGTACAGCCTTAATACTAGCTGTAAGGATTCACTTGATACTCTAACCACAGCTCAGCTCCAATCACAAGCTGCAGCTTAAAATCTGCATTTCCCCCAACATTAAGGAGTCTCTCAAACCCCAGCTTCTGCTTTCAGTTGTTCACAAGCAGAAATTTTATAACCCCAGGCAATTATACAATTAGAGTCTATTGGTACCTACACAAAGGTACCAGTGGATCTGGACTATGGGTAAATAGGACACCAGCCAGAAAGCTCTTGCTCTCCCTACTCCTGCAGGTGCATGACAGCAGCTTGGCACCAGAAATGAAGCAGTTGATGCCCACAAAGAAACTTTGTAATTTACATTTCCAAGTTTTCTGGTCTTAGATTTCACACAGCAGCTGTGCAGCAAAACACTTTTGATGAAACCTAAATACACAGGCACGGGATAAAGCAAGGGAGCCACACTGGGTATTTAGAAAAGACCAGTAGGAGCCAGGACACCGACTGGCTGAGTAGGTAGTTAGAAGGAGGAACAGAAGGTTACCACCATCATCTCCATTACTGAATTGCTGTGGGAGTGTGCAAAAGCTCTGTTGTTTTCAGCAATTCAGGGTAAGTAGTTTCTGGGGACCCAAAACGTAGCTCCCTCTCTAAATGCATCTCAAGCATTTAAAATTAGATTTCTTCCTCAATAAGAACTATTCATGAAAATGTCAGCTTTAAATGTCTTTACAATGCAAGTGAGCATACCACCCACTCATCTTGTACCCTGCAAAGACGGAGTCTGAAAAGTCTGAAGATCACGACATGTAACAGACCAAACAGGAACAAAGCCTTACTTAAATGTATGACTACCCCAGCTGGAAAGATGACCAGAAACATGAGTAGAAATAATATTTTACGTAAGAAAAAGACAGACTTACCTGCAGGTCAAAGAACTTGCTGTATCTCCGGTAGATGATCTGGGAGGTCAGGTCTGACCATGTTACATTGATGATATAGACCTAGGAAAAGAAAACACAAGTCGACATGAGTTCTGAAGAAGGGGGTATGTTCAAAGGCTGAACTGTCAGAACGAGTAAACTCAGCATCTCTCTGGCCATTCCTGTTCACAGTGAGGAATACAACCCTGGGTGCAGGACTAGCCCAAATTAAAGCTATTGCCCTGCTGCAGCTTTCAGCAGAGGTCTCAGGAGAGGTCATGGTGGTTTTCCACTTCACAACCAGCAGAGCTATTCCAGCCCTAAGCAAGAACCCATTGTGAGCTGCCAGTCTCCCACTCCATGACATCAAGATTTCCTTCTTTATGGAGATGTGATCTCAGCCCTTCCCAAGGCTCTGGTTCAACAAAGACATTCAAAGGAAACTCAAAGGGGCTGAGGGATCACAACTCTAACACAGGTACTGTCATGCACCCAGACACTACAGCAGCCCAACCCTGCTGACACACGTCAGCTCAGCACCTCTGGTACCTATCAGACTGATTCAGAGGTGATGTAAAGCAGGCCAGCAATGGGGAAATCATTTGCTTATACTCATGGAAAAAGCAATGCATGTCCAGAATAAGCCCAGGATTTCCCTTGTCCTGCCCCAGTACATACCTAGTACAACCAACTTATGGAAACACTCATCAGAAGACATGATAAAAAATTATTCACAAGTGCACACACAGATACGTACATATACATAAATATACATACTCTGCACAAATGTTTCCTTTTGACCCTAGCACCTCCAATACATTTAAATACATATAAATAAAAGAAAAAGCAAGATCTAAGTGCCGCGCTCAGACGCACTGTCCTTGAGGCCAAGCGCGGGTCCTGCTGCCCTGATGACAGGCACGGCACAAGACTTGAGTAAACACAGGATGGAGCCATCGAGGGTGACTGCCCGACTCCAGTGTAATGGAAATCCCAGCCAGCCCAGCTCCTGGATCTTTAAAGCAATTTCAATGTTTCACATATGGAGTGAGATAAGGATCTGGCAGAGGAAACAGGAAAGCATCCCTCCTCCCTCAGCCCCTGCGCTGCAGCAGGAGCTCTCCCTCTTGCCAGGAGTGAAGGGCTCTGCCCCCAGCAATTGGGAACGAACAGGCATCATCCTCCATTTCCCCAAGGACACCAGCCCATCTCCTAGGGTCCAGATGCAGGGCAATCACTAAAGATAGAACGTATGAAACCTCCTGGACTGATGCTGAAGAATCAGAACCACTGAGGGTTTTTTTTTCCCCCCTTCTCCTACTAGGCACAAGCTCATGTCCTGGAAAATTATGAAGATCCTGCAGCCTCACTTCACTCTCTGACTGTTATACAGTGACAACAGAGCTGATCTGCTCCATTAGAGGCAACCAGAATGAGTAACACAAGATCTCAGTTCTCCTTTAAGACCCTACCTGAACAGGCAGCCAAAGGTCAGAGCCTGAGAAGGAAGCTAAAGCGGTCAACCTTCAGATCAGCCACACAGTGCTGAAGAATATTTTTCCATATGTTTGTTGTGCAAAAAAAAAAAAAAAGTTTGTAGCTTCAATCCAGGCTAATTCACAACACAAATATTTCTGCTGGTTCTCTGTCCAACAGCTACTTTCAGATGGAAAACCCATTCGATTAAAAACAGATCATGACAGATGGGAGCTGACTACGATCCAAAAGCAACTTCAGATCCTGTAATTCTGGCGCTGAATTCTCTCAAAGGGAATGAGACAAGGATAGGAGAACATATTTCACATATAAATGGAGTCGATGCTTTTTGTTTAATTACACATCTTTCCTCCAGAAGCTAGAAGCAAAACATGCTGCAGCCATCCAGGCATTTTGAACCTGAGGGTACCGCTTTGTGCTATCCTTCAGAACCCATGAGAGCCACATCCTCGCTGCAAGCAGTCAGCACTGCAGTAAGCAGCACTGCACACCTATCCCAGAAGAAATGCCCTGTGTGCAAGGGGGCATCAGGGCCAGCCAATGCATTTGGTGCAGGAACAGGGCCTGTTGCATTGTGCAGACACTGTCCCCAACCCTGATCTCTAGGCTCTGCAAGAAGGAAACTGCCACAGACTAGCAGTCAAGTCAGGATTTTGCTGCACATTTAAAGCAGGCTCTTCGAGCCTTAGGTCTCTTCAAGCTCAGTAAAAGATAAATTGGATAGGATACAGATGCATCAACTTCTATTTCATAGGAAGATCGTACCAGGAGCAAAAAGAGCTTCTAATCATAACCTGGAGTTCTGCAAAGCAAGAGATGCATGGGCTCAAAACCTGCATGCTGGGACGCAGGTGCACAAGCTGAAGGGACCATTGATTTTCTTTGCTCATTTGCATAAATCAAATTGCTTCTGGGAAGCCACCACTTCAAATAACAGGGAATAGGGGTTTGCAAGAACACAGAAAAGATCTGTAAACTGTGTGATATTAAAAGCAAGGTCCAGAGGTCTCAAAAGCCTTAACTATCACATTTCCCTCCTTTAGAGATCAGGGTTTGGGGGTTATTGCCTTCTGCTGCCTGAACAGACCCACAGCTTTCTCACAAGCAGCAAACGTTACATCAGCTTATTTTGCCTTTTTTTTTTTTTAAATATGCTCAGATCTTGTAATGGGTCACTGCCAAAGTGATCAGCGACATCCCAGGGGAGGAGGAACACAGCGGTCCTGTGGGAGCCTGAGGTCACACATACGCACGGGGTAGGGAGGCAGCAGGAAATGTCAGATAAATACAGAGCCATCCCACGCTCAGTGCCGGCAGAGCCAGGGCTGGGCACCCCAAAACTGAGCATGGCTCACAGACCAGGCAGAGGGAAGAAGAGCCTGGTAAGGGGAGATGTTCCTATGGGGATGTAGCTCAGACAAAGCAGAGATGTTCCTCAGCACCAATAGGTATGGATCTGGTCCTCAGTGCTTGTCCTGCGCATTGGAGGGTTAAGATCAAGCTCTGCCAAGTAAGAATGGTGTTTTCCTATAGCCCTTTACGGAACTTCACTGTAATCACAATTACAAATTATGAGTAACTACCATAAATAATTGCTACAGGTAATCTGCTTTACACCTATTTATGACCTTGAAGAGGTCAAAACACAGCTGACATTCAAAAGTTTCATCCCAAAAACGCTTAACAAAAACAAGCCCTCAACAACATATATTAATTGAAGTACGCAGTACAAAGAACTGCACAGCCCTGGGATGTCCCAGCTATGAAGGAAGTTCAATTTTTCATTTCACCAATGCAGTCTTTTTTCAGCCTACTATGTATTTTCAAATAAATCCTTTCTGGAGGAAACAAGGAGCAAATCCTGCACAAACTGTAGAATATTAATCAGGAACTGGGCTTGACAAGCAGCTCTTAATATTCATGCTGCATGAAGGAAGGTGCAGGATGTCAAGGGGGTTTTATCAGCTGCTAATTATCGTTTAATTCTAGCTCTGGGAAATTTCCATTTTAAACACCACAGAGCAGAAAATTTACTGCAAACTGAAGTTGCAGCTCTCCTTTTACTGCCTACACAAAACGAGAGATGATTTCTTACTACTACTACAAAAAAAAAACCCAACCAATCATAGTACTGCAGATGTCCTTGTGCATGACTTTATCACCAAATGTCTCATTTTCAATGGAAAATATCCAGTTCCAGCTGACACAAGACCCACAGGTAGGGAATTCAGGTTGTTCTCATGACTGATTTTTCAGTTGGCTTTTTAGAGGGTAATGTTTTGTTTCCTACAATCAGATGAGCTGAGTGGAAGATAAACGCCTGAAATGAGCAGTGCGATGAGAGCAAGATAAGAACCTCTACAAAGAGGCAAGCGGTTGGCAAAGATCCCAGAGCATTGACTAGAAACAAGTTCGTACCCATAACAGAGGCCACTGTTAGCCTTTAATAAGTAATTACAGTAAATACTAACTTTCTTAAAAGTTTTATGAATGCAACAAACAACAATATGTTGCAATTTGTATGCAGATACCATCACGATAGCCCCTTTTATCCTGGAGAATGTCAGCGTCTTCAAAGCCTTGTATTAAAGCACTGGAGGTTTGTCCTGCAGTGAATCACAAGCTGGAAAGCTCCTCCTTCTCCCTCATATTCAGATGCTATCACAGCTTGTGAGCTGGAAACTTCCCACTAGCAGAGCTCAGCATGCGAACACTCCATGCTCCACTTCAGTCAAAGTCAACACAGCTCCTGCAAAGCTGGTGGCAATTTCAGCTGCTTCATTTAGCTGCTGGAGTTTATATTGAAACAGCGCAAACCGCAGCAGCCATCCACAGTCAACATACGGTTGTGCCCTAAATTACAAGAGCACAGGCACTGCACCAGTTTACCATTTGCATAATTATTTTAATGCCAAAGACCCTCCAGTGAGTGGAAATCAGAGCTGGCCCAGACACGAATTTGGAGGGATAACAGCCCAGAGTGAACACTTTCTGCACCCATGAGGCTGAATCAGCACGGCTATATGCGCCCCAGAAGCATCACGGCTGATGTTGGGTACATTCTTTCACCCAAAAAAGACACAGGTACCAAGGTTTCCCCAGCTGAATACACAGGGTGAGGCATCTCCAGTTACTGCCCTATGCAGATCAGGGCCAGGAAAAAAAACAGAGATCAGCATCAGAACATAGGACCTCATCCCACACACACCACCTGTGCCTACACTTGGCTTGGATCACATTCAAGCTTTTGGAAAGTTTGCATTTGACTCTGGATCCAGCAAGCGCAGCTCAGGCTCCTTGCCCAGCTTGCCAGCATCCAAGAGACCCTAAAAAGCTCAGTGAGACCTGGGAAATTCCCACAGAGATGAAGTCAGACCTCTCACCCGCAGCGAGTCCACCACCGGAGCCATGCCGTGATGTCACCTTTCAGCACAGTGGCCTGTGGGGAACTGCAGCTCAGCCAGGCCAGGGCTAAGGGAAGACTAGTCTCAAAGCCAGGCCAGAGCTGTTCTCACCCTGGGAATGTGAAGGGAGAGCTGAGAAGCAGAGACGGTGCTCGGTAGAAACACACAATGAGGAAATGG